ACATTTGGAAGTTTATTTTAGATGAAAAGTGTCAAATCAGACATATTTTCTAATAATTCCCCAAATTCCTAACACCTAGGCAAAGGTTGAGCTCTTTGCCAGACTTTATATTTTTATCTATCTATAGTTAAACATTGGGCTCTGCAGTTCAAACAAAATTCATTTTACTGGAAACATTTGGGTAACAAAACAGCAGATTATATTATAGTGTCAGTGTATAACCAAGCATCAGGAGGATTGGGAAATAATAACTTTTTCTTGGGACTCATCCTACTTGCTCCTCTCCTCCATGCTCATAGACCCAAGGACTTTCCTCCATATTTCCCTTCTCTATCAGAGTTCAGAGTAGACCCTTTGCACCATGCTTGCTCTGATGTGGTTTAGAAGTTTAGGGGTGCTGGGACCCCCAAAACACAACACATGGGTCCTGCCTGAAAGAATTTGATCCAAGCCTTCTTTCAGCCAAAGACAAGGTTTATTAGAACATCCATCGTATCGGGCAGACTCTTAAGGAGTATGAACATTAGTAAACTATTGGCTAGATTATAAGAATCTAAGCAGTGGCTAGATTATAAGAATCCCAGCATCTTAAGGAGACAAGGTGGACCTTATATACAGAAAGACTGTGGGAGGGATCTAGGAGCGGCCAGTAAGCTGGGGTGAACAGAATTCCTGGAACCTAGACCTCATGGCCAAGGGGGAGATTGAGTGTAGCCAGTGTAGCCATAATGAAAGGCCAGTTGATGGGATTATAGCCTCAGGAGTATGCCAGAGATTTGGCCAAGTGGGAAAGTCCAGGGTTTTTCCTTTCTGGGGTCTAGATCTCAACCCCATCAGCTCCAGTCTCTCAAATTCAGAAGGTTAGAATCTCTTCTCCCAATTCTGAAGTAGCTTCTTCCTTTTATATAAAATAGTAGACTGTGACCCCCCCTCCACATATAAACAATTTGTTGTAGAAAGACTTCAAACTCAACATGGATACAAGCAGGGGTAGGCAGGATAAAAGGAAGGATAATACTGGGGAGAGGACAGTCACAAGCAAAACAAATGTCCTCAACCTAAAAGGAGAATTGAAAGGGGAGAAGAAAAGAAAGAACCATGATAAATTTAAGAATTAATTGAGATTGCCTCTTAGGAAATTGAGGAGTGGTTGAAAAAATTGTGGCATATTAACATAATGGAATATTATTATGCTATTAGAAATGACAAAAGCAATAGTGATATCAGGAGGGAAAAGGGCTATTGAAATTTTTTTTTCTTTTTTTAAATTAATTTATTTTGATTTATCAACAATCACTTCCATAAGCTTTTGAATTTTAAATTTTTCTCCCCCTTCCTCCCCACCTCCCTTCCCAAGATGGCTTGCAATCTGATATAGGCTATACATATACATTCCTATTAAACATGTTTTCATATTAGTGATGTTGTAAGTAAGAATTAGAACCAATAGGAGGAACCACCAGAAAGAGGAAACAAAACTCAACAGAAGAAGAAAAATTAGCAAATAGTATGTTTTGATCTGCATTCAAACTCCAAAATTCTTTCTTTGAATATGGATAGCATTTTGCATCAGGAGGCCTTTGGAGGTGTCTTAGATCCTTGTATTGCTGGGAAGGGTTAAGTTTATCAATATTAGTCATCTCACAACATGGCTGTTATTGTGTACAATGTTCTTGGTTCTGCTCATTTCACTCAGCATCAGACCATACAAGTCTTTCCAGGTTTTTCTGAAGTCAGCCTGTTCATCATTTCTTATAGCATAATAGTATTCCATTACATTCATACACCACAACTTGCTCAGCCATTCCCCAATTGATGGGCATCTTCTCAATCTCCTGAAATGTTTTTAAAATGCACGAAAGAGAATAGAAAGAAGTCAGAAAAAGCACAGACAAGTTGGACAATCTTTAATATGTAGAATTTTTTTTTAAGTAAGCAATGTGAAATGGAGATTCACAGTTTGATATGGAATCTTTTTTTGTATGTATTTTGCTGTGTACATAGAAATGCTCCTTTTTTGGGGTGTTTAAGTTCAAAATAAATAAAATTTGTAAATTTAAATAGAATAGGTGTTATCAGGTTGGCTAACATGACAAAACAGGAAAATGATAAATATTGGAGAAGATATGGGAAAATTGGAACATTAATACATTGTTGGTGAAGTTGTGAATTGATACAAACATTTTGGAGAGCAATTTGGAACTATGCCCAAAGGGCTATAAAAATGTGCATACTCTTTAACCCAGCAATAGCACTTCTAGGGTTATATCTCAAAGAGACCATACAAATGGGGAAAGGACCTACATGTACAAAAATATTTATAGCAGTTCTTTCTGTGGTGGCAAAGAATTGGAAATTGAGGGGATGCCCATCAATTGAGGGATGGCTGAACAAGTTGTGGTATAAGAATGTAATGGAATACTATTGTGCTATTAGAAATGATGAACAACACTTGACACTTACTAGCAGTGTGACTCTGGGCAAGTCACTTAACCCCAATTACCTGAAAAACAAAAATGATGAGCAAGAGAACTTTAGAAAAACTTAGAAAGATTTATATGAACTGATGCTGAGTGAAATGAGCAGAACCAGGAGAACACTGTGTACAGTAACAGCTATATTGTGTGATGATTAACTTTGACAGACTTAGCTCTTCTCAGCAATGCAAGGATCTAAGACAACTCCCAAAGGCTCATGACGGAAATGCAATCCACATTCAGAGAAAGAACTATGGAGTCTGAATGCAGATGGAAGCATACTATTTGCTCTCCTTTTCTTTTATTGTTTTGTTTTGTCCCTTCTTTCTTGTGGTTTCTCCCATTAATTCTAATTCTTCTTTACATCATGACTAATGTGAAAATATTCTTAATATGAACATATAAGTAGAGCCTATATCAAATTGGGCACCATCTTGGGGAGGAAGTGAGGAAAAGAAAATTTAAAACTCAAAAGCTTATGGAAGCGAATGTTGAAAACTAAAAATAAATTAATATAAAATAAAAAAAGAAAAGTAAATACAATAGGTGCTAAGGAAAGAAGAACCTTACAAGTAAGGGAAGGAACATGAGCAAAGGGCACAGAGAGGTTAGTGTTGACAAAGACTGAAGATGAAATTAGGTAGATAGTAAGAGGACAGATCCAAGCTCATATATTTGTCTATCATTCTAGGTAAATTGGAAAATTCTGCCCACTTGCATTTGAAGACTTCGCTCTCCTATCAAAAACATTGTCTTTTAATCTAATATATGCCACTGACTTATAAAATAAGTACAATTGGCCATGAAGACCAGAAAGAAAAAGAAAATCTTTGTTTCTTGACTCCTACATTTTATCAGCTTTTTAAACACAACTGTTCTATCCCTTTCTGCAACCAAACTGTTCACATATTCTGCTATCAGTCCCAAGCAGATATTGATGGAGAAGCTCTTTAGGTTGTTCATGTAATATGGACAACAGATACTCTACATGGATTAAACTCCATAAAAATCTTATGTTGACATAGCTTACCTTTGGGATTTGTTTGGCCTAACTACACACATTTTTACAAAGATTTTGTTTCAACTTGGAGGAAAAGTATGGGAGGAAGGATAAGGTAGCCAAAAGGAAGAAAGGAAAAGAAAAAAATAAAAGTCATTGAAGAATTTTGCATGGATATACAGAAGGGAACAGATGACTAGAAAGAATCACAACAGGATAGCTTGTAAATATTTTAGATAGAATGTAAGTATTTTACGTTATCTCTTAAAAGAAAAACTGTACATAATAGAGATTTGCAGTTTTGTGTACATACTCTTTTTCTGTTCCAATGTGTACATAAGGGTGCCCATTTGTTACATTCAGAATAATTTTTTTTAAAAATATAGCTTAGTATAGCTTAGCTCAAGTATAGTTTTTTTTTTCCCAAAGGTGAGTAATGGAGTGTAGATTCCCATTCAGTCATTTAAGGTAAGCAATGCATAAGAGTAGGAAGGATAGCCTTTATTTGCCCCACAAAATTAGCAAAAAGATGCTAAAGACTCCCTAAGAGAAACAAAAAACACAAAAGTCACACCCAGAAGCACCTAAAAAGAATACCCAGATAGAGCACTGAGTCACATTTAGGTTTAGATTCTCCCCAGAAGGCAAATACTTTACTCTTGACAAAATCCCATTCCCAACAAACCAGCATTATCTGAATACTTCAGTGGTTTTTCTCTCCAAGTAGTAAGCGGCTCTGGAAATAAGTGAGCAATTCAAGTCTTTTATCTAAGGAACAAATGGCATTAGACTTCAGTAATTTCATCTAGCTGACTGAAGAAAACAAAAAAATAAGGAACTGCTCCCTCCCCATCCACCATTATCCCTTACAATAATAAGCAAACTATTTAATTAAGATCCTGCTAACTTTTATTTTCAAGGTTATTCTGGAAAATAGTGTGGGAGAAAGAGCTCTGGACTAGGATTTGGGATCGGCCTCGGAAATTTTAAACAAATTGTTCAAGCTCTCAGATTCAGTTTCCACTTCTGACAAATGACATTAACACCAGGCAACTCCTTAATAAAATGTTAAGTTGTTTTGTTTTGTTTTGTTTTGCCTACAGTATATATCTCATGCATCTAAGCACAAGATCTGACACAATAGGTATTTAATAAAAAAATTTTTGAATAAAGATAGAATATTTATTTTTTTTATTTTTTTTTTAAAGGCCACTCAAAGTTTATTAGTTTCCGTTGAGTACAAAGTAAACAAGTTACTGAGGCTGCTGGAAAGCACATAGGTGAGTCAGATAGTAAAAAAAAAAAAACAAAAAACAAACAATAACAGTGTGGTTTCTTTTACTTTTTTTTTTTTGGTGTTTTGCTTTTGTTTTCCTTTAAAAAAAAAACAAACCACACACACACACACACACAACACAACTACTTCTACACTTAAGCAAGCCAGTCTATGCTAAGGGAAGAGGTGGGAGTGGGAAGGGAGGGGAGGGGAGGGGAGGGGAGAAGGGAGGGGGAGATGGGTTCGGATGCCTAGCACACTTCAAGAGCGAGGAAAGCAGCAGGAAGAGTGCTGCTGCTTCTGCAGAAGGCCCAGTGCTGGTCTTGCTGGTCTTGCTGGGCTCGCTGACACGCCGCTTCCTCATGGCCTCCTCAGTCAGGTCACAGGTGATCGTGCCATGAGCAACCTGGAAAGTTCCTGAGTGCTCTGGGCATTCCAATACAGTTGTCAGAAATGGGTGACTCGACTTGCCCACCAGTGACCTGGGTCTGATTTGGGAAGACCAGGATGGTGGGGGATCACTTCCCCAGAATACTCAGCACTTACACAGGAGCTGTTGCTGGAAGTGGAGCCCAGACGCCTTCGGTAGCAGTCATGGGTTGCTACGAGTGAACCGCTGGACGGGATTGTTGCCATGTTGCTCGTTCTTGTTGTGATGATGTAAATCTTAGTGGCGGCTGCCGAGCAGCCCCTGTCAGGCCGTGGTCACGGTGACCTGACTCGGGGGGAGGGGGCTGTAGGCCACAGAGCCCATTTGTAAGGGAGATCACGGGAGGATAGCCCACGGCAACGAAAATGCGAGAGTTCTTTGGGTTTGACCAAGATAGAATTTTTAAAACATCTTTAAAGTTATATGTAAAAATATATAAATTGTTAATGTACTTATAGAGCATAATTTTATGCTTTCAAAGGAGAAAGAGAAGTTTTACAATATAAGAATTTGAAAATAGTGATAGGATTAAAGGAGGCAAGAAAAAAGTATATCTAGCTCTGAGTAGGAACTAGAACAAGCCCCTCAAAAATGGGTGATTTCTCCCACATCTATCTGGGGCACTGGTAGGCTGAGGCCACAGGGGCTATTAACCCTCACCTATTCCTGTTCTTTATCCTTGAGGTTTGCTCTGGGCTTGTCTGTCTCCTAGGCAAGAGAACTAGCATCTTCAGTGCTGTAATTCTAACCCTATCCCAGATTCCTGAGGAACAATTCTGGTTTTTGACTCTAGTCTAGGAAGAAGTAACAACGTACCCAGAATATAAAAATGTATCAGGTATGAAAGTTTTATTTCCACACAGGAAGGGCAATGCTAAGCAATAACAGTGGAATAATTGCAACCAGTTGAGAGGCTAGCTAGTATCTAAGCCTCTACAGCATTGGCAAGTTTTCTTTTCACCTTTGCTGAGGACGACTCGTGGCCAAATAGGCTTTTTTCTCCCCATCCCTCCCTTCTCTGGGCGACTCTCTCTCCCTTTCTGACAGTGCTCTGCCAGTGTTTCTGATGGGGTTGGGATCTGGTCCCAGAAAGGAAAAACCCTGAACTTTCCCACATGGCCAAATCTCTGGCATTTGCCTGAGGCTATAATCCCATCAACTGGCCTTTAAGGATAATCTAGCCCCTGCTTAGATTCTTAAAATCTAGCCACTTCTCAGATTCTTAAAATCTAGCCAATAGCTTATTAATGTTCAGACTCCTTAAGAGTCTGCCCAATGTGATGGATGTTCTAATAAACCCTGTCTTTGACTGAAAGAAGGCTTGGGTCGAATTCTTTAGGGAGGGCCCACGTTTTGTGATGTTGGGGTCCCAGCACCCCTGAACCCCTAAACTGCATCATTTCCACTGCAACTGCTTCAGTAGCTGATACCCACCACTCAGGTGCCCAGAAAGGAGAGAAGATGCCAGTTGCTTTTGAGATCTCACAAGGGCTTGCATCAAAAGTAAACATAAGGGGTAGCTAGGTGGCGCAGTGGATACAGCACAGGCCCTGAAGTCAGGAGTACCTGAGTTCAAATACGACCTCAGACCAACACTTGACACTTTCTAGCTGTGTGACCCTGAGCAAGTCACTTAACCCCAATTGCCTTAAAAAAAAAAAAGTAAACATAAACAGTAGGTGACCCCATCCCAGGCAGAGGCTTGCCTAGAAGGCTATGTGCTTAAAGGGCTGGGGCTGTTAGTGGAGAAATGCCCCCCCCCCCCCACACCCCCCCCCCCCCCCCCCCCCCCCCCCCCCCCGCCCACAACCTTCCTGAGCTGAGAGAGTCCTCATGGCTAGGAGAAAGAAGGGCTGAGGGTCAGGGGTTGTCCTTTTACCATAGCCATGGAGTTCTGGCTCAGTAGCTAATTAAAAGAGTCATTATGACGAAAAGGAAGCAAATCAGAGGATTCGGTACCTACTCTTATGTCGAGTTTATTCATCAAGCATGCCCTGAATATAAATTAAAGGATAAAGGGTAAAAAGTGTAAAAGAAGGGAAAAGGGAGAAAAAGACCTGAATTATAGGAAGAGAAAGAGGAGAAAAAGTGTGAATTAGAGAGAAGAGAGAAAGGGGTGAGTTTGTTTTTAAAAGGGGGAATTTTTTCAAAGGGTATGAATGGTGAGAAAAAAGGACTGGATAAGGGAGAAAAGCTACCAACCAGAGGGAACCCAATAACCCTTCCCTTACTCCTTTCCTAGGCAGAGTACCCAAACCTCTTGACCTATTGTTCAACCTTCATGCCTTTGATATTCTATCCCAGCTATCTTTATTATTTGCCCACAACATTGTAGGCTTTCAAGGGCTTTAGCTCCCTGGTAAAAGGGTGTGGTGGCTCTTAAGTATGTTATGAGGTAATTACAAGAAGCCTGCAGTTTGGGGAAAAAGAAGGATGGATGAGGTCTGGGAAGTCTGTTAGTAAGGGCTATCATTAAGGAAGAGAGAGACCCAACAACCAACAAACCTTTATTAATCAGTCAGCCAGTCAGTCAACGGGCATTTATTAAGCACCTTCTATGTGGCAAATACTGTACTAAGTGAAGGGGATAGAAAGAAAAGTAAAAAACATGGTCCCTGCCCTTAAGGAGCTCACGTTCTAATGGGGTGACAAACATGCAAATAACTGCACAGTATGTACAGCGTAATTTTGCCTCTACTGTGTAGTGTATACAAAGTATTTGATAGCTTAAAAGTGCACTGAGACTTTTGGTATATCCTGTACTATATGGGAGAATATCAAAATATCAAATGGGGGTTAGCTTGGTGGAGTAGAGAGGTGAGGAAGAAAAGATAAGGCAGGAGAAGGGAGGAGAATGAAGGGGAGGAAAAAGGGAAAAAAGGAAAAGAAAAAGTGTTCAGGGAAGAGAGAAGGCAGTGATGGGGCAGTGAGAGGAAGCTTCCTAGAAGCAGTAGTAAAAGACATCTTTAAAAATTTGTGTGACTCGACGCTCACTAGCTGTGTGACTCTGGGCAAGTCACTTAACCCCAATTGCCTAAAAAAAAAAAATTGTGTGTAGGGGCAGGTAGGTGGCTCAGTGGATAGAGCACCGGCCTTGGAGACAGGAGGACCTGAGTTCAAATTTGATCTCAGATCAGGCACTTGACACTTATTAGCTGTGTGACCCTAGGCAAGTCACTTAACCCCACTTGCCTTGCCAAAAAAAAAAAAAGGAAAAGGAAAAAAAATTTGAGTGTAAGTGAATTTTAATTTATTTAATACAAGGTGATCTTCCTATTTAAAGGAAACTTGGAGGGGATCAAATTGTTTTGGAAAGTGAAGGGGTCTCTTCTTCCCCCACTTTGCACTAATTTTTTAAAGGCTGTTACATAGCTAGTCTAAAGCTGAGGGTGAGAAGGAGGGAGGTATTGAGAGGGAAGGGACCTACTAGAAACAGGGGCCCAAAGCAGGTGTGTGTGTGCTCCATCAGTTGTGTATGCAGAAGGGATCTTAAGGCAAAAAAAAGGTTCAAGAAGTTACAGCAGCCTCCATGCTTTAGTGCTCACACTGAAAATTGTGAGGTGCCTCCAGGAGACTCTTTGAGGCTTTTCTTTATAAGTCTCTCTGTCTCTCCAAGTTCAAAAACAAATGATGAAGCATAGGATCTGATGATAATACATACACGCTTTGGGAAATTATAATTATAAATATATAAATATAATACATAAAATGTAAAAATTATAATAATTAACAGTGTTGTGAGAATTTTTAAGGTCTTTGCTAGGTACTGCACAAACAAACCAGCACAGGATACAGACAGGTGAACATGTGTGTCTCATAATTCCATTTGACATTTATAGATATACATATATAGAGGGGGGAGAAGTGTCTATCTATAGCTATGCCTATATCTATTTATCTATATCTGTCTATCTACATTTTTTTGTCTCTCCTCCAGAATGAGTCTGGGTAAGATTAGTTAGAGCACCTGGGTAGGCTTACAAAAAGCATTTTAGGGTAAGAGCCGAGGGGTCACGGGTTTTTTAGGAAAGGATAAAGGATACTTAAACTTTACAAAGATCTTTAGCATAACTATTCACTCCAGGCCAAAGAAACTGTACCTTTTTAATCAGTTAGTTAATTAACATTTGTTATAATAGTTAATTAGCATTTGTTAAACTCCTGCCTGCCTTATTAAACTGGATAAAGAGATGGGAATGAGTTTGTAAGAACTATTCAAAGTCCTCTGGGTGGTTTCTGGTTTGTTTGGTTTTTTTTTGTTGTTGTTTGTTTGTTTTGTTTTGTTTTGTTTTTGTAACTGCAAAGTGGCTGGGGGAAGGGAGATATTGAAGGAGACAATCAGTACATTCTGTTTCATAGAAAAAGAAATAAAACAATCGCATAAGGCACAACAGCAAATATTTTCTTTCCCACCACCTGTTGGGGAAAAAAAATCTCTCCCCATTGGATTAGGCTTCCCTCTTTCAGTACCGTTCCTAACATTCCCAATCAGACAAACTCAGGTTAGAAGGCTGTCTAGTTGTTGTTTTCAATACCATAGAAATGAGAATAAGTTAAAGGCATAAAGCTTCTAAATGCCAGTTGCTTTTCTCTTCCACTCTTCCAACTGAGATAGAAAGGAAACAGTACGTGAGGGTTCCCCACTTTAGGAATGAAGAAAGGCACTATGGACTAGGTGTATGCACCTCATTGAACCGGAGTCCGCTGGTTCCTTGTGCTCTCACTTGTGTTCATGTCCATAGCTGGTCAGCACACCTCACACTGCTCCCAGTCTCTGAACCTCTGCTTCTTCTTGGCTCATAGCTGTCAGCATTTCAGCTCTAGTCCTAGGTTTTTCATCTCCATGATCCTCTACTTCTACCCACCCACTCGACCCAACAAGCAAGAAAGGGGGTCCCGGCCAACATGGATGCTAGCCAAGTCTCCAAGTAACATTCCTTCTCCCTTCTCAGTGTGTCCTTCTGGCTGACCAGGCTTCTCTATGAAAGTCCCTCTAAGGTCAAAAACAACAGAAATTTGGGGAACTGCCAGCAGGAAAACATTTGTGGCCCACCAAGATTTCATGGTAATGACTCTAGAGGAGGTTCAATGAGCATCGAGATAAGCGCTACACAGGTTTGCCTACAGTGGGGTATGTCTGCAATAGGCAGATGGCGTGGGGAAGTTTGGGACCAAGCTGAGAGATAAGAGATGACCTTGTTGGGGAGCTTGCAGTGTCTTGACTCTATTGGGGGTAATCCATTGTTAATGATCAATGGGACTGATTAGATATAGGTGACTTAATGGATAACCTCTCAGAGAAGAGACATCTGTGGGCACTAAACATGAGAGATGATGTAGGGAGGCAGTTTCCACTCCCCACTCTCCTATCACATTGTGTTTTCTATTTCTGCACCCACCCTATCTCAGAGAAACTCTCCTGCCCAGCTTGATCTCTCTTCCTTCAATGTTTTTGTTGGAGAGGCTGACACTAAGAGCAAAACTATGTCTTGCTTGAGGCAGCTGAAAATGAGAGTGGTTAGCCTTCTGACCTCGAGCAAGTCACAGGAGGCCCTCTATGGGCCTCCATTTCCTTCCGAGAAAAATGAGGGGGATTTGAACTAGACAATCTCCAAGGCCCTTCCAGCTCTGACATTCTAGGATTCCAAGCCAACACTTGATAAGGAAAGTGAGTTCAGGGGCATGAGGCACAGAGGGGAGAATGAGATGCTGGCTGTCCATGTTGCCTGGTGAATCTGGGTAAAAGCTAGGCCTTGGACTCCAGCCCAGCCCTCTCCCCTCCCATAGTGCAAGCGTCCTGCCTCGCTGCTCTGGGACATGGGATCTGTGATCACATTGTTCAGGGCTGGATCAGATTCCCAAGGCTCCTCTCTCTGGGGCTGGCAGGCAGCATAGGTAACTGGAGCAGTGTGAGAAAAAAAAAAAGGCCCAATCCATTAGGCCACCCAACCCCACCTAAAGCAGAGGTGAGTCACATCAGTGAAAATATCCCTCCCTCTCTCACCCCAAATCCCAGGGGTGCCAAGCAGGAAGTAATCTTCCCCCTTCAAACTCACAAAGAATCTAGGATTCTCATCTCCCAATTCCCAAGAGTGCCCCCCAAGCTCCATTTTCTTCTTGGAACTTTGTGTGTGGTCCTGACCCTCCAGTTCTCATCTCCTAGATTCTGCTCTGCCTGCTTCATTGTACCCAGCCCCTTCAGAAAGCAGATGTCCTACCTTCTACCTCTAGTAACCAGGTTAGCCCGGCCCTATTCCCCCCCCCCCCCCGCCCACCCCACCCTGCCTCTTTGAGATGCATCTGGCCTTGGGGTGGGGCACCCAAACTCCCCACTGTCTTCCAGCCCCAGGACCTCTCCAATTCCCTGGGATGGGCTAAAGCCAGGGAAGGTGGGGCTGTTCCTCCGGCCAGTTAGGAACTGCCCCAGGCAGTGGTTCTTCAGACTCTAAAAGGGGAGAGGTCTCCTGCTTTTCCCCCAGAGCTCTGATGTCCCCAGATCCAGCAACATGATGTTCTCAATTCAGCTCCTTCTCCTGCTACTGGGTAACTATTGGTATTGGTGGAGGGTGGGGAGCAGTCAGTCACCAGGACTGGAGAAGGATAGTCATGAGCAAATGACCTAAGATCCCAGGAAGTAATAGTTCTCTGGGGGTTAAGAAATTTGCTATGGTTCTAGGAGGGAAATGCGATGCTTACGGGCCAGGATGCCTGTGGAAAGGTATAACTAATAAAACTGGGTAACTGGGAATAGCTAGTAATACTCTTGAAGTCCTGGAAGAGCATTTAAACTTTAGCATGAAGATGAAAATGATATGTAGAAGAGAGGTGTGGGAGAAGGGCTATAGTAGGAAAGAGTTAACCTAGCCAGATTTCTTTCCTATGTCTTCCAGCCCTCCACCCCACCCCAGGAAAAACACAAGATCTAGGTAAGAGAGGGTCTAAAGTCTGAAGAGCATGAGGAGATCAGAGTGGAGAGTTGGAGGCTGGTGGTCTTGGGTGGGGAAAAACCCTCTGTCCTTGGGAAGAGCAGAAGCCAGAGGATAACAGGGTCACTCTGAACTGCAGTAGGAGTTGGAACACCTTTCACTCTTATCTTCCCAGCCTTAGCCCTCTCATATATAAAGGAGAGCCGATAGCCTGGTAACCAGTGGCCTGAGAATGCAGTGGGGTGTGCTTTGCAGATCATTGGCTGGGGCATGTGGTGGTGGTGGTGGAGGGGATGTGAAGTGGGTTGCTGCTGGCCCATAGGGCTACTTGAGGTTACAGAGGGGCTGGACTATGACTGGGGGGGCGGGGGGATGGAGGGATGGAGGGAACAGGGGATTAGGAGACTTTATCCTTTGAGTTCCTTTTCCAGAGTGTGGTCGAAGCCGCCCTGGACCCCGTGTTGTAGGTGGCTCTGATGCCATGCCAGGAGACTGGCCGTGGCAGGTGAGTCTGCACAAATATGACATGCACATCTGCGGTGGCTCTCTCATTACTGAATCCTGGGTGATCTCTGCTGCCCACTGCGTGGTAGAGTAAGTATGTAATCTTTGTACTGTTCTTTCCCCTAGGCTCAGGACTGACTGCACTGACCCTTGGTCCCTTGCCTTAAAAGGTCCCAGTCCTTACCATGCCGGAAATAGCTTGACTCTTACAGGCAACACAAAGCATGAGTACCATGCTTCTCTCTATTTTTCCCCAAGGTTCATGTCCTAGACTTCTTTTTTGGGGGGGGTAGGCAATGGGGTTAAAGGACTTGCCCAGGGTCACACAGCTAATAAGTGTTATGTGTCTGAGGCCAGACCTAGAGTTCTTTGCAGTTAAGACTGAGTCATATCTTGGCCAGGTTTAAATCTGCCCCTCTAAATAGCCCATATTCCTCTTCCCCTTAATGGTTTTTTTTTTTCAAATCTATCGGTCAAACATCTATATAGCACAAAGTGTTCCTTCAGTTTCCTCCTGAGTAATCAGTTCTACAGAGGGTTCTTGATTGTGCCAAACAGTTGCAAGTGACAGGATTATTCTACGACAGCCTCTCTGGGTAAAAAAATCATTTGCACTGCCTATCAGACTTATTGTGAGGAAAAATTTGTAAATCTTAAAACACCAGACTTAGAAATCTTAACTATGGATTATATAGTCACCCAGGTTGTAAGTTGTAAATCATTACTCACAAACCCTGTTTCTTCGCCTCCAAATCCATTATTTTTTACATTTTCTTACTTAATGGGCTCAATGTGTAGAACAGTAGACCTGCTCTCCTAGGCAGGTCCAACCTTTCTTCTTATCATCCACCTTCCTCTTTCCAGGAATGACACTCTGAGTTCACCAGAGGAATTTATGGTGGTCTTGGGCTTGTATTCTCTGGATCTGATACTGTACCACGGGCAATACAGGAACGTAACAGAAATTCTGATTCCGAGTAATTACACCATGCCACACCTAGGGAGTGACATTGCCCTGTTACGTCTGTCTGAACCTGCCAACCTCACAGAGTCCGTGCAGACCATCTGCCTGCCCCAGGCCAATCACCACTTCCCCCACGGAGCCTCCTGCTGGTCAACAGGCTGGGGAGACATACAGGAAAAGGGTGAGTCTTTAAAAAGGGTGGCAAATTCAATTCTCCTGCCTCAGCTCTTCAGGACTACCTAAAAATTGCCCCCTTCCTTTCATTCCTTTTCATTTCCTCTCTTGTCTCCCCTGGCCCCATCCTTCATAAACCCCTTCCCCTTTGCTCTATTCCCATTCTTCAACTAAACTAGACAGACATCTCTCCCTTCTGTCTACCCTGACTTTCTATCTCCAGTATAGCTATTAAGAGCAAAAGATCTGGGCTTTAAGTCTTGACTCTGATACTGGCTGTCTGTGGGCTACTTCATTACTCTGGCCTTCAGTTTCCTCATTGTTGAATGAGGTAAAAAATAACCCTCAGGGTTATTGAGAAGAAAATAGTTTGCAAATTACTGCTATTGTCTACGAGTACCATTTTGTTTACATGAATGCCATCATGCTTTCCTCTCATTCCCTTCCCAGACCCCCCTCCCATTTCCCATGCTATCCCCTCTTTCCAAGGCTCACTGGGATTCTTACTGGGGAGATGGGTCAAAAAAATGGTGACCTTGCTCTAGACAATCAAGGCTCCTGGTGATTTTTTGGTTAGGGATTGTTAGGGGAAACATTGGAATTCAGAAAGGACAAGAGCGTGAATTTAGGCTATTGTTGGAAGTGGTAGTGAATGAATACATTGTCAGAATAAAACTTGCAGGTGTCCAATTTGAGTGACTGAAAGAATATTATACAGAGACAGGAAAGACTGAAAGGCATAGAGCCAGTTGTCTGGGAAGCTAATCCTGAAATAGCATTTTAAGGTTTACTAAGTGCTTTAAAAAACCCTGTAAGGCAAGATGGTACAAGTATTGTCATTCTAAGATGAGCAAACAGAAGATAAGTGATTATCTTTTTAGGACAGGTAGCTAGTGAATGTCCAAACTGATTTGAACTCTGGTCTTTCAAGATCAGCAATCTAATTATACTGCAGTGTACTTGTACAGGTTTGAGTTTAAAACGGAGGTGGGACCTATCGATGGAGATTATAGAGATTTGAATAGAGGGGTTGGGGGTGGTTATATATAGATTTTAAGAATGACCTACCTAGAAGGGCATAATTGAAGCTGTGAATGTAGGGAGAGAAGAGAGCAGGAGATGAACACATCTTTTTCCTTCGTTTCTACCTCTTAATCCAGCCCCCAAATTCCCTCACCTCCTAGTCCTCATCTTGGAAATTCCCCTTCCCCCTCAGAATGGCTGCCCTCCCCACAGCTGCTGCAGGAAGTGGAACTAAAGATTATTGGAGAGTCAGCCTGTCAGTGTCTCTTAAACTCCAACGGCCCCTACAATGAAACAGTGCAGCTGCTCCCAGGGATGATGTGTGCTGGCTTTAAGGAAGGCAAGAAGGACACATGCCAGGTAGGAGGGGGGACATCTCCCTTGCTGTGCCACAATTCATTATCAAATGCCAGAGGATATTTTTTTAAAGGTAGTTGGGGTTAAGTGACTTGCCCAGGGTCACACAGCTAGTGTCAAGTGTTTGGTCTGAGGCCGGATTTGAGCTCAAGTCCTCCTGACTTCAGGGCCAGTGCTCTATCCACTGTGCCACCTAGCTGCCCGTCATAGGATATTTCAATCCATACACTTGGGATATTTTCTGATTGTCCAGTCCGGGTTAAGTGACTTTCCCAGGGTCACACAGCTAGTGTCTTTGAGGCCTGATTTGAGCTCAGTTCCTCCTGACGCTGGGGCTGGTACTGCATCCTCTACCCTGCCTAGCTGTCTGCATGCCTTGAGTTTCTGGGTAAACTGAAGCTACGCTTATATCTCAGGCTCAGTGCTCAAGTTTCCTCATCAGCAAAATGGGAATAATACTTGTGCTGCTTATCTCACCAGGTTGGTGGCAAATCTTAAGCAGTATGGAATGTGACTACCCTTATCAAAAATAGTGAAACCTAAGGGTTCTCTTTGTATGCTTTACTTTTCTGGAGGTGTATTTGCAGATGCAATACTCCCCCATGTTTTACCCCAAACTGAGTCCAGTACTTAAGATGGAATCTGACCTAGGGTGCTCTTAATATACCTCTTACTACAATTTAGGATAGTATTTTGTTTTCCTATGGAAATCAACACCTTGAACCTGCATTCTAAAATCTCTAGATCTTTCAGCAAAAGTATACTTTTTCTTTCTCCACCCCCCCCCACCAGAATCTTCTTGCAAACATAGCCAAGTAAAACAAACTTTCGAAATTAGCACTCTGCTGAGCCTTCTACTTCTATTAGGAGGTGGGGAACATTTTCATCATTAGTTCTCTTGTATCCTGACAGATCATCTGTTGATCATAGATTGGTAGCTAGAACAGATCTTGGAAGTTATCAAGGATAATCCTCTCATTTTACAGATAAGGAAACAGGCTTGCCCCTGGGGGTCAACAAAGTTATCCCTCTCAGCTTTGTGTTGGATATCTGCAATATATACAAGTTATTGACTAAAATAATAAGACAAGTGAGACCAACTAGGTAGAATCAGTGCCCTTTCTAAGATCGGGTCCCCTCTAACCCTAAAGTTAATATCCACAGGGAGACTCTGGAGGTCCACTGGTCTGTGAGGAGGCAGGCCAATGGTTCCTGGCTGGAATCACCAGCTTTGGCCATGGCTGTGCAAGGAGGAACCGGCCAGGCATCTTCACAGCTGTGGCAGCTTATGAAGACTGGATCCAGGAGCGAGTGCCTGGCGCTTCCTTCCCAGAGCAACCCAAGCCTGTAGCACCAGATATGCCAGAGGAGCCCCCTAACAACTGCACCCTTGCCTTGCCACGTAAGCAATGAAATTGGGATGAGGATAGGGTGACCGGATTTCTGAGCTGGGGGAATAAGAAAGTTTGAGACTAATAGTCTCCTACACCTTCTTCTGACCATAGAATGTGGGAGTGCCCCCCGACCTGGTTATTGGCCCTGGAAGGCTGTTATAGTTACCCCAAGATCCAATCCCTGCCATGGGGTGATGGTATCAGAGAACTGGGTCCTAGCACCAGCCAGCTGCTTTCTGGGGTGAGTAATGTTGCAGGTATCCTCCTGAGGGATTGTCAACAAGACCTCTCAGAGAATCCCAGAAGACAATCTGTAACAAGAATTCTTTGAGTTGAGGGTCCAGGCCATAGAAAATGGAATTGATGGGCATCAACTTGGGCAACACAATGGGACAAGCAATCCTGCGTCTGAACTGAGACATGGAGATGGGATGCCTTGGTTTGAACAAATGGCTTTTTTTGTCCCCTGAACAGCCGCCAGGACCTAGACATTAGCGACTGGGAAGTGATCCTCCCCAACTCAAAAAGTGTACCTGTTATCCAAGTCACGTTAAATCGAAACCACACACTGCATTATGGGTATGACCTGGCCCTTTTGGAGCTTAAAGTGTCTGTAAATTTGACAGAAGAGACAAGACCTGTGTGCTTGCCCCAGTCATATCACTACTTTGTGCCTGGAGGCCATTGCCATCTGGCCCAGTGGGGTCCTGGAGGTGAGTCCTGACCAATACAATTCCCCTGTCTCTCCAGACCCATCATCAGCCTCAGCTCTGCTTTCTCCTTTGCTCTTCCTAGAGCCGCTGTCGGTCAATTCCTTGTTGGAGGCTGAAATGATGACAGCTTGGTGGTGTTATTGTCTCCATGGCGAGGAGTTGGAGGAAGTGCCTATTCCTGGGATGAACCCTAGAATCCTGTGTGCTGACTACCAGGAGGAGGAGATGAGCAGCTGTTGGGTGAGGGAGGGTTCTGCCTCTGTGATACCTAGCTTAGGGGAGCAGACAATCAGTTGGGATCTGGGGATACATATTCCAGTGTTCCTGGGAGATGAAAATATTTGAAGAAACTGAAGGGTGGACCACGTGGGACTAGAAGAGATGTTTGTGGTCTCAGAGATACACCCTTGGACTTGGAACTTGGAACTTCCATCTCCTAATAACCTCTACCCATTTCACAGTTTGGGAGCCGTTGGAGCCTCCTATGCCAGGAATCTGGGACCTGGTTTCTGGCAGGTGTTTCTGCGCCCACGGAGAGCTGTCTTCGGCCTCGGGTCTTCTCCCCAGTGCAACTTCATGGAAGCTGGATCAGACATGTCGCCCTTACGGCCTACCTAGAGGATCAACTGGCCTGGAACTGGGGAAATGTAGTAGATGAAAGGATCTGTCCCCCCAAAGCCAATTATGGAGGTTAGACCCAGACTCCACCTTCAAATACTCCAGGGCTATAGGAAGTTTAGCCCTCCAGTCCTTGAGTGATGGGATGGGGTGGGGCATGGTTCTTACCTAGTGGTGCAGTGAAGGAATTCCCTGGTTCCATGAGATTCTTGTGAGTGGGGAGGCTCAGTCAAGTGGTGAGGGGGATATCCAACTATTTCATAGTAAAGAACTGAGTATTTCCTCATAGATTCATTGGTTTCATGGGTGGGGTAGGATTTAAGGAAAGCAGTGGGTTCCACTGTGGTGAAAGGACGGACTTAAAAGGATTTTAGGGGTGGAATTCAGTAAAGGTTAGGAGGAGACTTAACTGGTGAAAGACACTAATTGGAAGGAGTAACCTAACAATTCCATAGGTTGGAAGAAATTAGTGGTTCCATAGGGGAGGGTGAGCTGTGTGGACTTAGGGATTCTATTGGAAAGAGAAAGTCAGCTGTTCAATATAAACTCAGCTTCATGGGGAGGTAAGAATGGAGATTTCATTGGTTACATGGAGGGAGGTTCCATGATTGGCACATTGGAGAAAGACAGGGGTTGGAGTGGGATTCAGGGTTTCCACAGTGGAGGGAAGGAGGGACCCATGCTCTTAAGAGAAGGAGGGAAATTTGAGTGCTGTATCTGCACAGCTGCTTAATGAGGAAGTGGGAATTAAATGGTTTTAGTGGTTCCAGGAAGAGAAATCAATCTTCCAACTTTGAGGACTAAATGGCTGCCTATGGAATCTGCTTTTTTCTTAGCTTGTGGCCTTCGACCAGCAATATGGGAAAAGAGTAATCCATGGCCCTGGATGGCAGAGGTGCAAGGGACCAGGGGTGGAGTTTGCATAGGCAGCCTGGTGAGCCCTGGTTGGGTCTTGGCAGCTACTCATTGTGTCACCAGGTGGGTCACCATAAGTAGAATTCCAAAGCAGGGAATTCTTGGGAGTTCCAGCTCTTACTAGAGAGGGGTACATTAGGAGTTCTATTAGGACTGCAGAGATGCAGTGATTTCATGGGGAAGAGAAATTCAGACAGCCCTGGACAAACAGGACAGAAAGCAGAAATCTCAAAGAGCAGTGAGACTTTTAATGCCCCAAGATTGAAAGAGGGGGAAATCCTTTTGTAAAATACTTTGAAGCTAGAGGGGAGATGCCCAGAAAGGGAATAGTGCAGGGGCTAGTAAATTGACCCTGACTGGATAAGTGGAAATAAGAATGCCCAGTTCCAGAAGGGGTGGGGGAAGGATTTTAACAATAGATAACAATAGGTAACAACCAACAACTCAAGTAGGGAAACTCTGGACTCATCCACAACAGGCAGGCCTCCACAGCATCTGGTCTTCAGGTTTACCTGGGTACAACAGGGTCCAGACCCCTTGCCCAGGGCCGCCAGGTGTCAAGGTCAGTCATCAGCATTCGCTCGCCCAACAGTATGGGATCCAACCATTCCAACACATCTCTAGTCCTCTTGAAGCTAGAGACCAAGGTGGAGTCCTCCCCCTCTGCCCTGCCTGTCTGCCTCCATTCTGGACCTGCCCCAACAGAGACAAGCTGCTGGGTGCTGGGCTGGAAAGACATCTCAAACAGAGGTGAGCAAAGCCAAAGTAGTACTTTTAGGGCCTAGGGCCATATATCCTTGTATCTTGGGAGGACAGACAGCTCTCATTACATAGCTAAGTGCTGGTGGGACTGAAGAAGTACTCAGGACATTTGTTTGGGGAAGGAAGGAGGATGGGGTTGGGTGACCCGAGGGGCTGGAACATGCAACACCATGAATAAGGATTTATGGGAGAGATTATTCCCTTGTCTCAAATCTCCCCTGTTGGAGAGATGACCTTGAGTTGAGTCCCTTGCCAATTCTGATGCTCTGGTTTTTATCACCCCAAGTGCCCTTGGCTGTTCCAGTCAGCATCTTGTCACCTGAACGATGCTACTGCCTTTGTAAAAAGAATGTACTGCCCTATGGAACCATCTGCGTCCAGTATTCCAAGGAAACAGAGGGCAGACCTGAGGTACGATTGAAAGGTTAAGAGAAGGGAGTGAATCATAGAGAAACTAGTATTGGGGAGGTATATATAGCAACAGAATGCTTTGGGTTCGAAAGAGGGCAGAGCCTGAGGCCTGGAGGAACAGGACTTGTACAGCACTATGTCGGAAACCCTAGGCTCAAAAGTCTACCCTTCTGTGACTTGGAGGACTTCACCTCAGTTCTGAAAAATGGGGCTAGTACTGTTTGTCTCCTGTCTCCATCAAGGCGTCTTGTAAGGAAAAATGATCTTAAAATTGCTTTTATAAATACAAGTTATCCAAATTCTCTTCTAGATGGACTCAGGATCATCTCTCCTGTGCCAAGAAGAAACTGGCATCTGGGTCCTGGTTGGCCTATCCCTGAAGGGAAGCCAGCAGCTTTTTGCCCCAGTGGGAACCCAGTACTCCTGGATCTCCCAGATTGTGGAGGAGGCATCCTTTCTGACACAGTTCAGGTTCAGTCCAGTCTTGGAGGAGACCAGTGGCCTTTGCCCTCCAGACCTGAGCAGCTCAGCAACACTTCCAGGAGCTGCCCTTCTACTGTTCTTACCTCTGTTTCTACTACTCTGACTCTGAGGGCAAGGGGAGAAGATGCAAATGTCCCTGTTTCTCTTCCCCTTCCGTCTGTCTCTGCTGGAATGTGCCCAGACAGGTTCTTGGGAACCTCGAAAGCTTCCCCACACACACACACACACATCTCCAAGGAGGGTGACTTAACTGAGATGATGACGGAACTGTTCAACCCTGGGTGTCTAATTGGACTTGCGTTCCAACCACTGCTATTTTGAGCCAAAGAATTCTGGGGGTGGAATGAATACCTGGGTAATAAACACAATGCCAACATTGCCAGGGGCTGCTTCATGCCTGATGTCTGTGGGAGAGTGGGGGAAGCACCCAAGGGCTAAGAACATTGGATTCAAGGGAGAGGGGTGAACCTTAGTGGTGCTTGAAGTACTTGAAGATGGGAAGAAGTAAGCTTGCAGGGGACTTAGGGACATGCTTAGGAGGAGGGGACTCTTAAGCATGTCCCTAGGAGGTCAGAGCTTAGAGCAATGGAAGAAACAAACAATCTGGCATCTTGAGTGGGCCATAAGTAGAGAAGGCTGGATAGAGAGTCCAGTGATGGATCATTTTGAGAGTGGAGCCCAGGACTGGCTATTTCCGAGGCCCTGGGGATGTTTGGGTCCAGAGCTGGCCACACACACACACAGGTGCCAGAGGTTTGAGTCAGGAGCAGGGCTGGAAGAGAAATTTGTAGCTGATAACGTGGCAGCTGCCACTCATTCCTGCCTGCCTGGGCAGGGTGTGCCCAAGGTCAGCTGGGTGTTTGTCACCAGCAGCAATGGAACACCAGTCTCCCTGTCCTAGGTGTTGGTGTTCCTATCTCCATCAAATCCTCAGATTTGATCTTACTAAATGTCCCTGTGCCCTTGCAAAAAAAAAAAAAAAAGACCCAGCCCTGAAACTTCTGTTGGGAGTAGGAAACAGGATAACGCACTTGGACCTGAACCTAGCACTTCCTGGTTCAGAACTGCTCAGATACCTCCAACTATATTTTCCCATATCCTGAGATAAATTGCAGAATTATCAATGTCAGCACAGCAACATTACTTACTAACACTTCTTCCCAGTCATCTTCATGGGTCAGGACTTTCCAGGAATGCAGCTGTACTTAAAAGCCCAAATCCTGGCTCCCCTGGGGAATTCCTTAGAAGTAGCTGGGCACTGACTGGTTGGATAGGACTCACTCTGAAATCTTTCACAGAAGGGAAGGAATTTAGATAGGTATAGCATGTGTGCTGTATAGACAGACCCTCATGCCCCAATCAAGCTTTTCAGACACACCTGGTCAGGGTTGGGTTTTTATGAAATCTGTTCCCCGCTGTTCTCCCTGACCATTGGACCTTATGTCCATGTTTAATTCCTGCGTTTCTGCGACAAAGATCTTGTAAAGGCAGTGGTGAGGTTACAGAAGCCCAGCTGTTGGACAGTCTGGTTTTGTAGGGAAAGAGGCTTAAGTAGTTTACACCAACTACTCTGCAATAAATGTTTTCTTGGGTACCAAGTATGGGGAAAAGTAAACAAGCACTTCACAGAGCCTTTTCCCTTGATGCTTGAGAGAAGGAAGATTTAGATTTGATGATGTGCCAGTTAAAAGGAGATTCAAATGCAAAACAAAAGGCCTTATTCTGAGAAACAGCGACTTGGGGCCATAAAGCACTGACCCCAGCCCAACCTCCACCCCTTTCATGTAAAAGAAAGGAGGCGGACCTTGGGGTAGGCGTTGCTGCTCAGGGAGAGGAAATCCCCATTGGGCTAACCTGGCCAGTGAACAAGGGGTTGGCAGGTAGGGGCGGGGCAGGGCGGGAACAGGTGACACCGGTTACCAGCTCAGCCATTCCAGACCCCTCCCTGAGATACTCCCCAGCTGCTCAACCCCATTCCTACTCCTGGGGTTGCCAAGAGAAGTTCTCTTACAACGGACAGTCTTACCTGCCCCCTAGGACGGACCTGTTGGGTCAGGGGAAGGCAGGTGCGTCCCAGACTGGGGCCATGAGCTGGAGGATGGGCCTGGGGCCTCAGTGGCCCCTAGCGTTGATGACAATGCTAAGCTTATTGAATCTGCTACCGCTGGGAAGGGGTGAGTGAAGGCAGCAAGGCTGAGACCAGGGACAGTAGGTGACCAGTTTTTCCCCTTCCTCAATCCCTTTCTGTTTCCTAGTCCCTTGGTTTGCCTTTTCCCTAGTCTCCCCTTCCCCCTGCCTCCCACCATGGCTGACCTACCCCTTCTTCCAGTCCCTCAGTCTTCCAAATTGTCTACCTTCACCCCACCCAAATATCCCAGACCCCAGCTCTAACCACTTCCCCTTTCCCGCCCTACTCATTTTCTCCTTTCTTTGCTTTCAGGGGCTGATGGGAAAGAAGGTGAGAACTTGGGGGAAGAGAAGGGAGGAAAAGGGTGGGGCAAGAAGAGGAAGGGGAGGAGAAAACAAAATGGGGGAAAGAAGGACTTTTCTGTTGGAAATGAAGGGGAAAGAGTGAGAAGAGGAAGAGGGAAATAGAAAAGGTGACGAGAGATGGGGGAAGGGAAGAAGAGGGAGTTGGAGGAACCGGGAGGAGATATGAAGGAAAATAGAGAAGGGGATCAGAAAGGTAGAAGGGGGAAGGGGAAAGGAGAATGGGGAAGGAGGAAAGGAAGCATACAGAGTTGAGAGAGGAAGGGGAGTTTAATTAAGAGTGATAGGGGGAGGGAATACTGAGCAGAGTCGAAGAAAGAGAAGATAAATGATTACCCAGATGGGTTAGGAAAGGAGTCCAGACCCCGGCCCCACTGGCCACAGTGTCCCTAAACAGCCCCCCCCCTTTTGCTCTCTTTCAGAAGTTCCCTGTGGCATGGCCTCACAGGCGCGAATCGTGGGAGGTACCAATGCCTCCCCAGGTCAGTGGCCATGGCAGGTCAGCATCACCTACAATGGCATCCACGTATGCGGTGGCTCTCTTGTATCCAAAGAGTGGGTGCTCACAGCTGCCCACTGCTTCCCAAGGTTAGACAAGAGTTGGGAGGGATAAGTATGGGGAGGCATGGAACTGGGAACTCTTGGGGAGGATTTTTGGGAGAGAAACAGAAGGGAGAAAAGATGCTGATTGGATTCAGAAACGGAGGGAAGCAGTGAAAGGGATGAGGGACACCTCGATTCCAGCTGTCTTCTTCACTTCCCCTCTATTCAGGGAGCACAGGCTGGATGACTACGAGGTGAAGCTGGGTGCCCATCAACTCAGCACCTATAGCCCTGATGCAGTGGCTACAACTGTAGCCAAGGTCTTCACCCATCCTAACTATGTAGAAGAGGGCTCCCAGGGCGACATTGCTCTCCTCCAACTGAAGTTTCCTGTGAACTTCTCGAGGTACATTCGTCCAGTTTGTCTACCAGCAGCCAATGCCTCCTTCCCCAATGGACTCCACTGCACTGTCACAGGCTGGGGTAATACACACAGCTCAGGTAAGTTTGCTGTGGGTGTATGGGTTGCCAGAGCCAGTCCTATTCATCAAAGAGATGGAGAGTTTGGGAGGATGGAGGATTTAATATGTACCCCTATTATCTCCTTTCGCTGCAGTGAGTCTCGCTAACCCCAAGACCTTGCAGCAGCTGGAGGTGCCTCTGATTAGCAGAGAGACGTGCAACTGTCTTTACAACATAAAGCCGGATCCTGAGGAGCCACACGTCATCCAGCCAGACATGGTGTGTGCTGGCTTTGTACAAGGTGGCAAAGATGCCTGCCAGGTAAGGGCCTGATCTTGGGCAGGGAGATACAAGGGTCATGAGAAAGGAAGGGAATAGGATACCAGAGTCCTAAGAAGGAGCAGGGGCTGAGATACTGGATTCCACCTGGCTCCTGATGGGGTGAGCTGCCTGAGACTTTTAGGGGCTTGATGGCCTTAAAAGGAACTGAAAACTCTGCTGTCCAGGCTTCTCAAATCTACTCGTTGTGTCACCGTAGCGAAGTCACTTCCTTTCTCCTTGCCACAGTTCCCTCAACTATAAAATGATGGGGTTGGACTAGATCTTCAAGATCCTTCCTGTTCTAACCTTTTTTTTTTTTTTATTTTGGCAAGGCAATTGGGGTTAAGTGACTTGCGCAGGGTCACACAGCTAGTACTTGTCAAGTGTCTGGTCTGAGACTAGATTTGAACTCAGGTCCTCTGCTCTAGGCCGGTGCTCTATACACTGCGCTACCTTGCTGCCCCCCTGTTCTAACCTTTTGTGGTTTGTCTATCTCCAGGGAGATTCTGGAGGGCCCCTCTCTTGCCCCATGGGAGGCCGCTGGTTCCTGGCTGGTGTTGTGAGTTGGGGAGATGCCTGTGGGGCTCCCAACAGGCCTGGAGTCTATACTCTCACCTCCAGCTATGCTTCATGGATTCACCAGAAGGTCTCAGAGATCCAGTCCCACTATGTGCCCCTGACCAAAGAATCCCATTTGGATATGGATCTGTGCAAAAAGGATCTCAGCAAGCTCATCTCAGCTTCAGCCCTCCTGACACCAAGCCTGCTACTGTCCCTCAGCGTGTCAGTCTTTTGTCACCTCCTGCTCTAGAACAGAGCACAATTTCTACAGACTTTGCCTGGTTTGGCTGGAGGGCTTAGTCCCTTATCCACTCACTGCCTCCTGGACAACTGACACTTTACTGAGCCCCCCTACCCCAACCCTAGAGGGACTGAGACATTCCCTTCTCACTGGGACCTGAAGCTTCAGATTGTGAATTGTGGTCCACCTCTAAAACCAACTGTCAATGGCCTCGAACACTTATTACCTGTGTAACTTGGGGATCAATAACCTCAGACTCAGTTTCCTCATCTGTAAAATGAGAAGATTGGATTAGCTGGCCTCCAAAGTCCCTTCCAGGAGCGCTGAGGAGGGACTGATGGGACTTTCTGACCTTTGAGCCAGCTCCTTCCACGCCAGGACAGCCGTGGTTCTTGGTGTGTGGTTTGGGGCCTGAGCCTTTCCTTACTTTCAGGATTTATGGCTGTTTGTTGTCAAGAGGTCTCTCAGCAGCAACCCTAGTGAATAATCTGGGACTCTCCTGTCTGAGGGGCTGGGCCAGGTGATTCTCTGGCTACCACTGGGAAACTCTGCCGCCATTCTTCTGGAGGACTTGGCCCCTTCACCTGCACCCGTGTCAGCCCCCAGAGTTAGTGGAGACCGGGCATCTCCATGAAAGCCAACCTCAAAGTACTGGTTCTTGCATTCCAAAGACAAGTGCCCCCTCCAGCAAAGAGCAGCTGCATGCCCATAACATGGCTCTTCATGAAGGACCGACCTCCTCCACAACTGGCTGATCCCCCCCTTCCCACACAGGACCCTACCCTGTAGCCACCTGTTATTGGACTCACTCCCTCCTCCTCTACTGCACCCTGGAGGACTGAGCCACCCCTGGGAAGGGGCTGAGGAGTGAGGGTGTGTGTATGTATGTACATATGTGTGTGTGTGTATGTGTGTGTGTTTGTACACAGGTGCATGCACGGCAAGGGAAGGCATCACATCAGTCCTATTGAGCATAATAAACCATTTGAATAAGCAACAGGTGGCCTGTGAAGTCTCCATTAGTTTGTTGATCCCTACCATTCTTCCCCTTTCTCCCTCCCCAAACAGCCAATTTTGCAATTGTACAGTGACAAGCTTTATTAAAAAAATATTTTAGGGCTTGAAGGTGGGCAGACAAGTCTATACATATTTACAAACTGGGAAAAGTGCACCCCTCACAGGTCTAAGGCTGCCAGTGGGGAGGGATGCAGGGAGGTGCAGGGGCACTGGTTTGAGCACCATTCACTTCTTGGACAACTTTACTTGCTTGTGCTTGGGTGGTGCCCACTTGAGACAAACTGAGTCCACTGTAGGGGGAAAAGAGAAAAAAATCAAAGATGGGGTCAGCCGGAACATGGGGTGACGGGTTGGGAAAGCAAGCAATGATATCCACCTTTTGACAGAAAAGTGATGGACTGGTACAGAATGAGGTCTATGTGTATATATTTTTAACGTGGCCAATGGGAGTTTGTTTTGCTTGACTATGCATATCCGTAAAAGGAATTTTTTTTTCCCCAATGGGGTAGAGGGGTAGGAGGAAGAGAAAATAGATTTCTGGTCATTTAAAAACTAAAACTTTTTTTAAAAGGAAAGAAAGCCATCTGAATGTACAGCAGGAAGAACTCTGGACTTCGAGTCAAGAGACTGGGGTTCTAGTTCGAGGTGCCTGCCAGTTCTGACATTCTGAGTTTCCATGAGAGGGAGCCCACGTTTGTACTAGGCCCTGGGCCAAGTTTCAATGAGCCTAAGTGAGAACAAAAGGGCATATTGAGCGAGGCCTTGAGGGGGAGGGAGAACCAGCCTCCTCCAGAGAGCCGGGTACTGCTTGCCTCTGGTAGACAGGAGCAGGTAGGACCGGTTTTGCGATCATGAGACAGGGGCTGGCCCAGCTGCAAAGGACATAGGAAGTGGCCACCAGATGGGAGCCTGGAATCCCCCAGTAAACATGGGCATGTCTAGTTCCACACTCTCCTTGTGACCCACACTCCCACCCCATGGTTTGGGTACCTCCCCACTACCTGTGATGGGCGGCTTCTTGTACTGGGCACTCTTAAGGTGCTCTTCCACTAGCTTGGGGGTGACACAGATGACATGCTGCCCCTTCCAGTACTTGACCATGTTGAGTGACTGCAGAGTGCTGATGATGTCATTTTGTGTGATGCTGGTCATCTGGCTGTGGTAGTGAGGGTGAAGAGAAGCAATGAGAGCTTAGGGGTTTCCTCTCCACTAGCCCCAGGCACTTTCCCGTGCCCTTGAAAGAGCAATGGGGGACTGGGGGGTGGGGAGACGGAGAGGAAAGGACATGGCCTTGCTCCAGTCCATTTGGGGAGCTAGGGAGACACCATGACACTCACCCTACCTGTCTCCCTCACCCTCTCCTCTGCCCCCCGGTGGTGCTGGGGTGGTAGGAAAGAACAAGAACGTGGCCATCCTCACCTGAGGTCTTTGATGGACAGTGTGCCCCGGAAGTCCCTCAAGATCTCCAGCAGGACCCAGGACCAGTAACTACGATAGCTCAGTTTGCCCAGGTCTGACAGTGGCTTCTCTGGAGAACCCACTGTACTCTCCAACTTCGACAATTCGTAACCTTAGAGATGGGTGGGGTTGAGGATCCTGGCACTCCCATCCCACCCCAGATACACACCCCCTCCCCTCCCTTTCCTATCAAAAGAGGCTCAACTTACTGAAAGCAATGAGGAACTTGCCATAACCTCTGCGCTGATATGGGGGGAGGGTCAGGATACAGGCCACATTATTCCCGTCTGGGGACTCCTTCTCCTTCAGGGGCAGGCAGGTAGAGAACTAGTCAGGAAATAGATACTGGACCATCCCAACCTAACACCCATCCCTCCTGTGCCCCATTTGGCACCTTAGAGAAGTAGCCCACGATGTGGGCCCCCTGTCTGTCCACTTCGGTCAAGATGTAAAAGACAAATGGCTCCACATCAAAGTACAAGGTCTTGTGGTCCAGGAAGAGCTTGGCCAATAGACACAGGTTCTGGCAATAAATCTTAACGGTGGGAGGAAAGAAAGGAATGGGATTAGTGGTTTCCCCCAAGAAACCTCCCTTTTTATAGAGTAACTTCAATCCTCCTGGAATTACAATGAGAGTGGGAAATGTCCTCTGAACCCCTAAACAACCCCCGCCACAAACAGAAGCCCTCAGAGAAAGGAAACCAGTCTCATTAGTGGATGGTCTCTTGGATGATGCTAATAAAAATAACAGCCACTTAGAGTTGGAGCCCTAGTAGAATTTAAGTAAGCTTCCTGAAGGTGAAATGTTTAATTTTTTTCTGGTCTCTGCAGTCTTAAATGTCTATTAAATTGAATCTGCCTAATTTTGAGGGAAAACCTCCCATGGGGCCTTCCCCACCAAAAACAATTTCTTGAGTACCATGAGATCTCATCAAGGAGAAAACTGGGGAAAAACTGCCTCCCATTATGAAGTAAAGTACTCCTATTCCATCCCAAGGCTCTGGGGCACACCTTATGGTCTTTGCCATCCACCTCATATACTGATATGTTGTTCTTTCGGTAGATTTCCTTGCCAGGTGGCTGTCTCCACTGGCACTGCCCCTGGGGTGGAAGAACAGATGAGTTTTGAGTCTCTCTCATCATGAGATTAGCTCCAAAAGTAGTGAGGCAGTCCAGCATGCAAGTGGGAGAGCTTGACAACCAAAACTCCCACAGCAGACTATAGTTGCAAGAATCCTGAAACAGAGTCAGAAGAACTTGGGTAACTCAGTTTGGGCTTTGCTACTAATTCAATGTGTGACTTTAGGCAAGTTGTCTCCTTCTCTGGGACTCAAGTTGTCCATCTATCAAATGAGGAACATAGTCTGGACCAGGAGTTCTTAACTTGAGGTCCACGGAAAGGGGAGGAAAAGGGAGAGGGGGAGCAAGATTTTATTTTTATTTTCACTAATTCAAATTTAGCATTTCCTTTGTTATTTAAAAACATTATTCTGAGAAGGGGTCCATGAGCTTCACCACATTAAGAATGCCCGATGAGTCCATGACTCACAAAAAAGTGAAGAACCTTTGGTCAAGACGCTTTCCAGGTTGCATTCCAACTAGTGTAGGTTCCTTTTCTATCAACTACTGACCTTCACTAGCCCTGATGCTTCATCTGCCATGTTACAGGGAGAAAGTCTGTCAAAAGATTTGGGTTCTGGTCCCTGCTATCACTAACCCTGAGGTGCCTTCCCAGACTTGACATCTTATCTTACCCACTTCCCCAATAGCTCTCCTGTCTATCCCAACCCAAAAGGTATTGCCCAAAATACTGGTTAAGTGGGCCTTAGTGAGGTCTCACCAAATGGAAACGATAGCTCTTCTCAAACTTCATGTACTTCAGGCAGTATTCGCAGAGCCAAAGTTTGGGCTGTTTCCCATAATCTTCTGGGAATGGGGAGAAGTACCAGGCATCAATCTCATAGTTTCCAATATGAATCTTGTCCACATACTTCACCTTAGTAATCTGTGGGCAGAGACAGTAAAAAGCTAAAGGGAGACAAGTGAGTGGTGGCTTTTCATGATAACCCTAGGAGAGGGGATACATTCAAATGGTAGGGGACTGAGAAGAGACCAGACTGACTGCAAGGGGATCCAAGAGTAAGGGTAGTGAGAGGCCTGGTCTCCCCCCTCTGCCTGCTTACCGCCTCATGTTCCTTTTCTAGTGCTGCTGTTGTGGGATCCATTTCTGCATAGGTCTGGTGGGGAGAGGAAGCGGAGAGAGGGAATAAAAAACATTTTCATCCTATCATACTTCCATCAAATCATGGCTTCCCTTTAAAATTCACCACAATTTCCAAACTATCTTCTACTACTAATGATCTCCATAATCCAACATGGACCATTCCTATCTCTCTCTGCCCAAGGTGTGCCTTTTCCCCTCCTCTTTGTCCTTTTATCCTAATCCTGATTGAGCTTCAAGATTAAGACCCTCTCCTACTTTCCCTTTTCTGACATCCTCTTGCAGAACCAGTCTTGCACCTGTTTATGCATTCTCTCTCACCAACATTATTTGTGCTTGATTATCATTGACCATTTGTCATTTACTACACAGTACTGTTAATTTTATTTTTCTTGTGTCTTATCTTGTTCTCCCCAACTAGGCTGAGTTCTTCCAAGGCAGAAGGCCTACTTTAAGCCTCTTTGTCTGCCATACAGAGATGGTTTACACATAGCAGACAACTGAGACAAACTTGCTCATGGACTAAGAATTTAGGATTGGAGCAGAACAGGAAGGGATAAAACTGGGCCGTTCTCTCCAGCAGGCTCTGGGAAATGTGAGCCCCTTGAAAGGATGCCTCAGGGGGAGCATTAGTACAGGACATCCTTCACCCACTACACCCCTTCCAAACTAGACTACTCATAATTCCATGATCTCATCCTACCCTCTATGAAATTGGCAAATGCTATTTCCTTACCCTCCTCCCACTCCTTTATCTCTTGTCTGTTGAAATCTGTCTGTTCCTTCAAATGCAAATACAGGTCAGGTGCTACCTCCTCAATGAAACTTCCTGATTCCTTCTAGCTGGAAGTGGTCCCACCTGCCTTAAATCTCTCAAGTGTCCAACTTTTCTCATTCTCTTACTCAATTGACGTAAACTATGTAGAGGTCTTATTGACCTACACTGTAAACACTTGGTGGGAACTCGTTTTTCATTTCCATATCTTAAGCACATAGTACAGGGCCAAGTGCTAACAAACAACTGTTGAAGTTATGTGTTTAATTAAACTTTAGAACAAAAAGGGGCTTGAGAAGGCTAACTTGGTCACCTCCTTCATGTTACAGAAGAAGTAGAAAGTTTAAGTGGTTTTTCAAGGGTGACCCAGTTAATCAATTAGTGGCAAACAAAGAGCTCCTATTTCCTGGCTCCCCCTCAGGCCTCCAAAGGTGGCTGCAGACCTTCTGCACATGGTTAATCTCATCATGTTTGCGTTTCTGGTTGCGGGTGATCTTGCGCTCAGGCTGCTCTGCCAGCTCACTTAGGTACTTCTCAGAGTTTTTCTGAACAGCTTCTTTCACCGTCTTGGTCAAGGCCAGTCGATTCTTGTCCACCCATTCATCCAGCCGACGGTTAACTGAGAGAGGTGAGAAGTTAACAGAAGAAACGCAAGTGTCCCACCCGCCTCCCCATTCCAGGTCCTGTTCTCCAAGGTGCCCAGTTGGTTCTTCCTGTCTAGGGAAATAATGTCATGTCTCCAGAAAATAGAGGTACTCACAGCCCACATAATGTACGTAGAATTCCTCTCGTCCTTCTTGGTCATTCACACGGGACTGAATCACCTCTGCTGAGTCTATAGAACAAGAAACCTTGAAGTTGCCAGGAGGATGAGGCAGGGATCAGGGGGTAAGGGCCCTTGGAGAGTAAGGACCCTCCCTTCCAGTGAGGACAGTTTCTAACCTCTCTGGCCCACTTGTGATAATCACCAGACCACTCCTCCCACCTTTCCCTGAGGCATACTCTTCTATTTTTTAAGAGCTCTGTCAGGAAGCTATGGATGCATAAAACTGAAATTTTCTTCCTAACCTGCCCAATGCTCCAAATTCTACCCCCTTAGACCAAACAGAGTAAGTTTAATCCTTCTTCCACATAATTGCCCTTCAAATACTGGAAGAGAGCCATCATTCAGTCTTCTCTCCTCCAAGCTTAATACCATCAGCTCCTCTACCCATCTTCTTATGGCCCAGTCTGCAGTCCTCATTTTCTTGATCGTCTTACTCTGAAAAAACTCCACTTTGTCAAAGTCGCTCATAAAACAAGGGCTCTAAAACTGATCATTGTACTATAAATGTGGTCTAAGACAAGTATAGCAGAATTATCAATTCCCTCACTGTTTACAAAGTACCAAAAAATATGCAAGGCATTGTGTAAGTAAGGGGAAGGAATACTTGTATACAAAAAAAGTATGATATGAGGTAAAGTATTGAAAACCAGCACAGGAGAGATCCAGACAAAGCGCTTTAGAAAAATGTGAAGAAGGAGAAAATACTCTTAGTTGAAGGTGGGAAAGAAGGGAGATAAGATTAAGGAAAGCTTAATGAAGGCAATGGCACTTAAACTGAGCTTTGATGTTATTGTACTGATACACTGATATTAAGAGCAAAAGAATATATTCTAGGCATGAGATGAACAGTGAAAATGAACAAGCACAATACACAATGAGAACCCAGAAAGGTTACATGTGTTAAGGAATGTTTGGTTAACACGTGACTTGTCCGAAGTCATACATGTAATAAGTAGCAAGTCCCAGAATCAAACCTAGGTCTTTCAACTCCAAATCTCACTGGAAAGGAGCTACATTGCCACTTGTGTTAGGAAAAAGCTCAGCTGGTTCAGTCTGGATGGAACATAAAAGTATGTGAAAAGTAATATAATAAAATAAGGTTGAAAAGGTAGATGGGAATAAAATTACAGAAGGCTTTGAATGAAAGGATAAAGAGTTTGTGTTCAGACAGGGACCACAGGTCACCATTAAAAAGGTTTTTGTTGTTTTTAAAGCAGGGGAATGACATACCTGTGGATTAGTAAGCTTATTTTGGCAGTTCTTTGACAGATAAAAGGAGAGGCAGTATGGCATAACAGAGAGCTGGCTGGCCTTAGAGCTTCGAACAAGTCACTTAAGTCTCAGTACTCAAGGGCTATTTTCAAGAATAAAAATGAAAATGTGTGGAAACTCTCAGGGCAGCATAGATTAAATGACAGGTCTAGAAGAACCTCTCTTCCTCCCCCAACCCCCCCCCACCCCAGTCCAAAATGTGAAAAAGAAAGGGAAAGACTGCAGACAAATGAGATCAGTTAGGAGACAATTGCAATAATTGCTGGACCTGAAGTCAGGAAGATCTGAACTCAACTCTGGCCTCAGACCCTGTATGACCATAGGCAAGTTGCTTAATCTCTGCCTCAGCTTCTTCATACATAAAATGGGGATAATAACAGCATTTATTTCCCCCCCCACCCCGGTTATTGTGAGGACCAAATGAAATCATATCTGCACTATGTACATAGCAGCTATTATCGTCCAGCTAGTTGGTCTTCCTGACTAAAGGGTCTTCCCACACCAGTTCACCCTTCACTTGGCTGCCAAGGTGATCTTCCTCAAGTGCAGGTCTGACCAAGTTAGACACCCACACTTGAACTCCAGTGGCAACTAATAACCTCCAGGATCAAATATAAGATCTCATTTGGCTTTTAAAACACTTCACAACTTGGCCCCTTTCTAACTTTCCAGTTGTCTCATACTTAAAAAAACAATTCAGAAACATCAGGGTTCTTGCTACTCTTCCCACAGGACAGCCCATCCTTGACTACATTCCTTTTCACTGATTGCCCCCTATGGCTAGAATGCTCTCCCTCTTTCTTTCTGCCTCCTGGCTTTAAGACGCAACTCATAAACCACTTTCTGCAAAAGGCCTTTTTCAGTAACCCTCCTCCCTACCACTATCTTCCCGCTGAGACTGTCTCCTTTTTATATTGTACATCTCTTGTACATAGACATGTACACAGTAGTTTGCATGTCGTCTCCTCTAACAGAATGTGAATTCCATGAGAACAGGGACATCCTCTGCATTAACACAGTGCCTGGTACAAATGAAGCACCTAATAAATGGTGCTTCTTTACAAAAAGGAGGTTATTACAACAGTCCCTGGGAAATGTGACAGATCTGAAATAACCCTGGGAAATGTGACAGACCTGAAATAAAGTGTTTGCAAATGAATGAAAAGGAGAAAAGATGATGATGCCAAATGATTAGAAGGAGAAAGAAGTCAAAGATAAATCTGTGATTTAGATCTTGGAAAAGCTGTAGTACATCTTCAAATACTGTTTAAGATTGCTTTAATTCTTTCAACGATGAGGAAACTGAAGGCCCAAGGAAATGAAGTGATTCATCCAAGGCCATACAGATAGCCAGGTCTTCTGACTCCAAATTCAACACTTTTCCGACTGTATAGCAATGCCTCCAACATTCATTCATTTCTCAATAAAGTCAGCTTGGCATAGTGGAAAGACTGCTAGACAAGGAGTCAGGAATGAACTGGGTACAAATGCTGCCTAAAACACGAGCTATTTGACCCTGAGTAAGTCACTTAAACTAAGCCTGTCTCTTCACCTGGAAAACGGGATTAACGGTAGTAATACCTCGGACTTTCGAGGATAAATTAGGTGACCTGAATAAAAATGCTTTTGCAAACCTTAAAGCAACATGGAAACGTCGACTGCTTCTCCCTTTCTCTGGAAAGTTTTGGCTCCAGGTACCTTCTACCTCTCTTACCTTTTCAAGCTCAAGCCAGGCCATCAAACCCCCGGCCCCCCCCCCCCCCGGTGCTTTCATCTCTCAGGATGCCCCAGACATCCAGGCCCTCCAGGAGCCAAGGTCACAGAGGGAGGGCAGCCCGGCCCCGATTCCCCCGACTCCCCCCCACCCAGCGCTACTCCGTATCCCCCGCCCTTACGCCAAGTACTATCAGGCCGTCGGCAGAGGTAGGTTTCTCCGATCTCCACCGTGACCTCGGGCTCGCCGCGGGCCGGGGCCGGAGGGGAGGAGCGGCCTGGGGGCGGGGAGGTACCTTCAGCCAATGCTCTCTCCCCGCCCCCGGCCTCGCCCTCCCCCGGGGCTCCGACCGTGGCCACTGTCGCGGAGCTTGCAGTCGCCATCGAACCGGTCGGAAGTGACGCAAAAATCAGGCGCCTCTACAACCCCAAACTTCCGGTTCCCGTACGGCAGAATGGAGTCCTCTAGAAGCACGGGGAGGAGCTACGTGACGTGGCGCCCCGCGATTGAGTCCCGGAGAGCACGCACCGCCTACAAAAGGGCGCGACCTCTCACCGATTGGTAGCCACGGCCCGGGAGGCCTCGTTCCTCTCCCCCGCCCCCCTTCTTCCGTACGACATGGAAGTACCCGGAGTTAGCAAGCAGGGACGCCCCCTTTGCTACGTCATAAAGATGTCTCAGCTTCGTCTAGGCTCCGCCTGTAGGTGTGCCTGGAGTTCCGAGCGTTAGGGTGGAGAAGTGATTACATCCTGCTTTTTAACCGGAAACGCTGGAAATGAAGAATGGGTGGGTCGAGTTGCATTCCCCGTTGCTGGGCAACGGCAAATGATGGCGGTAGCAATAACTTACTGTGCGCACTGGCCTTTTCCCCTTTTTCCGCTTCAAGAATGGAACCGACCCCCAGGCCCTGACCTTTACTCCTATTTTCAAGGTTTACAAAATGCGTTGCTCTCTACCACCTGGGAGAACGATTGTCCCCATTTTACAGATGCAGAGGCCGAGGCTCAAGAGAGGTGAAGCAACTGATCCAAGGCCCCACAGCTAAACAAGAGGCAGACCTGGTATTTGAGAATACTCTGAATGAAAGCCCAGACCTCTTTCCAGGACACCACACTGCCTGTGGGAGAATGGGGTGGTGCCAGCGCAGCTCCCAAAGATCTTAAGAGGTTGTGAAAAGTAGAGTTCAGGCATTGCTGTCTGTGGACAGCTGAAAGAAAGGGAGGCTTGAATGAGGAGGCCTTAGAACCTAGGGACCCCTCCTCAGAATGTTCTTAAATGTTTAAAACAAATTACATAGGGCTAAAGAAGAAATTAAAGTTGTAGTTTTTTTTTCCTGCCCAAGTTCATTGTCACATTCCCGGCCCACAAATTCATCTGTGGACCCCAGTTTAAGAACCCCTGGTCTGTAAACCTCCACCCCTGAACTCCCAAGAAGCCCCCTCAACTTGACAGTATTTCCAGTATCTGGAACAAGCCTGAGGAGGGCTAATCTCAAGGAATAGGTCTGTGTGGTCCTGGGTAACTCTTTTCTAGGCTGGTTTTCTTCTAAGAACAAGGGAGTTAGACCATATAGCTCAAATACATACTATGTACTTTGACAGTTCAAAGCAAGACACTTTAGTCTCTTCTCCCCACTCCCTAAAGTTCTCAAGGCCTCCTCATGGGAAGCCTCAGTAATGAGCTGAATTCATAGGGGGAGGGGAAGGGAGAAGGGAGAAGGTCAAAGAAAGATAGATTTAATGAATGACTTTCTGGAGTTCAGGTCATCTGAGCTATGGGTCAGGATTCCCTCTGAACATCCTCCTGAGAGAAAGAAAGACACGTCACAGTTATGAGAGGGTTGGGCTGTGTGTCTATGTGTTTAGACTCAGGGTGGCTAGGGACTGAATTAGCTGTCATTAATGAGACAATAAAATCTAGAGATAGGAAGCAGGGAATTCCACCTGTCTAGACTTGACACATCAAGGGATTTTTCAAGGGAGAGAATAACACTACATCACCACATATCTTTCTGACTTATGAGTGTCTCATGTGCTTCATTTAAAATCCAGCCTCCTTGCCACTTCTATCCTAATTTTCCCCTATCCCCTACATCTTCCTCCTTCCTATCTTCTGGTCCAAGTTCCTAAGTACCCTGCAGCCAGAAGCCTGCTGGCCAGGACTCATAAGGACAGGCAGGAGGCCAACCAGGGTGTCACAATCCAGCTGAGGACGAGTATTTTTAACAGCCACCTGGGATCAGAATGTCAGGTGGCCCCCCCATGACCTCATTAACTTTGAACAGTGGAAAGGAAATAGAAATAAAGGGCCTTGGGGAGAATAAGAGGAACCTGAGGATGTCATAATTGACAATTATTCCCATTTTAGAAGAGCTAAACTGAATATCTCACCAGACATTCCTTCTCATTTCCAATAGGTCTCTGGCCCCACAAAGGAACTAGCAAAAAGACCAAAGACCCCAGAATTAGGGTTAGAAACTCAGGGAGGATTTCCCAGTTATGACAGGAGAAAAGCCCAGGAGAGAGGATGTTGTACAAAGAACAAGATTTCAAATTAGAGAAGAGTACAAATCCCTCAGCTACTTGTTACCCCAAGTGGCCTTGGACAAGTCACTCTATTTTCTGGGCTTCAGTCTTGTCATTTGTAAAATGAGGAGGTTTGGTCTAGGTGATCTCTAAGGTTTTTCCTAGTTCTAAATCCTATGAAATGGACAGTTGCTATCCCCATAGATCTCTCAAAAGGGAAAGTGTGCCCCACCCCCAGCCAGGCCTACCTGTCTGTGGACAAGGGGGAAGAGCCAAGGTGACCCCCAGCTTTGTCCTGGGAAAAGGTAGGCAGGAAAGTCTGGCTGTCCCCCAGCCAGCCAGGACACATACACCGTGCCCTGGGGGAGGGGCTTTCAAAATGTGCACTTTAATATTACAAACACAGCAGTAGAGGGGGAGGGAAAGGGGGTTCACGGACCCCCAAACCCACTTTCCCAAAAACATGTACGATGAAAGAGGCCTCTGGGGCCCCCAAATGCACCCCCCAATCATCCCCAGCTCTGGGCCAAAAAGCCAGAGGCAGAGAAGATAGGAAAAAGGAGGAAGGATATGAAAGGAAGGACTGCAGTAACTGGTGGGTGGAAATTGAGTTACCAACCCTGGTCTAGTGGGCTTGGGGGAGCTGGGAGTCTAAGTCCTGATTGCCCAGAAACCAAGGTGCAACAGCAAGAGAAAAAGGTTCAGAGATCTGAAGCAGAGCCATTAGCAAAGGTTGTGGGGAGCTCCTGGCTCACAATACTTCAGACCAAGCTTCAAGAACTGGAAGGAAGGGGTGGGGTGGGTGGTGGAGAAGGACAGTATTATGTTGAGAGAGGGAAAGAGGCATGGGGTTTCCCCTGGCAAGTCCCAGAGGGAGGGCCCAGGCAAAGCCAGGCTAATGGGTCAGATCCGAAAGCTCTCTTCTTTGCCATCAATGTGCCGAAGTCGTAGGTAGACGTCTGTGCCAATTCCTTGCAAGGACTGGAGCCGAAGGGAACCACCTAGGTATTCTGCATATGCCCGGGATGTAGGCAGACCAAAACCAAACCTGGAGGGATGGAAACAATAAGGGTGATATCTTAAACATCCTAGCCCTTTGTTTCCCCCTTCCTCCATGAAGACCACCAAAATTTGGGAAGGGGGAAGCCTCACCCATGCATAGGTCCTGACTGGCCATTGCTGTTTGTATCCAGGTGACCAAAAAGTGGACTGATTCGGGGGTCCTGAGTGCTGGCCTCAGCCGTGGTGAAGTGGTAGTCCATCACTTTGTCCAGGTGGTGGTGAGCGATGCCCCCACCCCGATCTGAAATTCTAACAGAAGCCAGCCACACCAGGCTAAGGCTATCTGCAGGGATCACTTCTACCAGAAGACCTTCCCTTATTAAACCACCCACCTCACACTTCTCCTGTCCTCTGGATTTCCTGGGCTTGCAGCCATGTTTCCTTGGCATACAAATAAGACTTATCTCTTCTAGGGCAGGCCATTCCCTCTCTGATCTATGTTCCCTATAATCTCCCCTTCCCTAGACTCCAGGGCTTGGGATCCTGGCCTTTCCCACTTCTGCCCTCAGCCTCCCATCACCCATACCCCAGTCTACTTGCACTACTCAGTGGGCCCCTAGAGCCCATCCCCATCCAAACCTGATTATGAGGTCGATATCATTATTGGCAATAGTGATGACAATATCTGGGACATTGTATGGAGTGTCTAGATGGCTTTCCATTGTGGCCCTGGGATAGGAGGAGCAAAGCCAGGTGGGATTATGGTTAGCAATCCTCCCTTCCCACAAGCCCTTCCCCAGGACCCTGACCCCACCTCATGGCATTCTTCAGCAGTTCAGGAAGAATGTAGTCCAGGGGCATCGGGATGAAGGGGAACCGGGCAGCCACATGGCCATTGATTCGAACTCGAGGGGCATTCCCATACTTGTGTTCACACAGCCTCCTGGGGAGCAGGACGAGGGGATGGGGGACCTCAGCCTGCGCAGTCTCCTCAGGGGGTCCCCCTTCCATTTCCCCTCCCCTTGTCCTCCCCTCACCTGGCAAAATCCACCCACTTTTCAATGATCTTCTTTGGGGAGAGTCGAGTACAGATGATCCCCACAAAGTCGGGCTGGAGGCAGGATGAGGTACATGGAGGTTGAGGCAGCTCCCTCCTAGCCAAGAAACCCTCCCCCGGCAGACTCAGCCGTCTCCAGCTCAATCTCAAGCCTGAAGCTCTGACCTAAGAGATTGTTACCTGATCCCTGTCTCCCTCCTAGGACATCATGAGCTACCCTGCCCACCCCTCCAGGCATCGGCACCTTATCCTCATGCAGGGCCAAGTGATGGGTGGCCAACATACGGATCCCCAGCCGTGATGTCAGTGTCTTATCCAAGAAATATCGGACCAGCTTCTCATCCTGAGAGGGAAGGAGAAGATGCCCAGAGATATGGACCTCTTTCCTTCTTTCTCTTCAACCCAGTCCTGGGCTCTCTGGATGTACCCCTTCATCCCTCTTAAGATGGCTATGGGGCCCTACCTGGATATGCTTCCGGCACTCTCGAAGTCCCTCAGCTAGAAGAGTTACCACATCTTTGTGATCATCCAGGAGCTGTCGGACCAACTGGCAATACTGGGCCTCAGATGCCTGGTCCTTTATCTGGGGACCACCAAGGTTATCACACAGTCCTGAGTATACAAGGTGCCTCTCTTCAACAAGGTCCCTTCTCTGAAGTCGTTACGCTTCTAATATGCCCTCCAAACCCCACAGACTGTTCCCTTCCAGAAGTCCCCACCTCCCCAGGATTCCCCCAGCTCACCAGGGCAAATTCGCTCAGTTTCTGGAAGGCTCGGATATAGAGTTCATGCTGAAAGGAAGAGAGACAGTAAAGGGAGAAGAGAGGAGGATTATGGGGGGTACTAATGATTCCTGGGCCCCCTCGTCCAGCTGCCTTCTAGCCTCTCTGAGCCACTCAGTGCCCCACAGGTACACATCAACTCCTACCCCAGACCTACAGCAGTTAAAGAGGCAGGGTGCTACAAAACCAACTCATACCTCTATGCTTTTAGTGGGAAAAGACCCAAGATGGGAATTAGAACCAAGTTCTACTCCTGGCTCTCCCTCTGACTGGCCACATGACCTTGGGTCAGGGCCAACCTCTTTGGACTTTGGTGTTCTAGAAAACAAGGCGCTGGGGACTAGACATCGCTGAAGTCCCTTCCAGTTGTGATATTTTTATGGCGCTATGTCTACCTCTTCACCTCCTCTCCCAACCCTCCCAGCTAAGTCAGTCTCTCCCAGCCGGCCCTTTCCCCATGGCTGGTCATGTTTAGTTTCTACTTTGCCAGAAGCTGGAGTTTCCCTTTCCCCTGGGCAGGATGAGCCTGTTTTTACCACATGTAGGATGGTAGGATTGCAGCCAATGATGAAAGGTAGACTTCGGAAGCCCTTGATCCGGTGAGCTATACGAACAGGGAGCTCCTGATGTAGGTAACGGGCACTTTTCTGGAAGGCAAGGATGTACATGTGTGATGTGTGGAAAGCTCAGAATCCTGCAGGATATAAAATAGGAATAGCGGTGGAGTGGTGAATGATTGAGGGCCTCAAGGACAGGAACCAAAGGACCCTTACCAGCAGATGGCTGCCATCCTGGGAACGGCCTGAGTACAACATCATGGTTGGAGTGAGACGGACAGAAGGCTGAAAATATGGACAGATGGCTGATAGTTCCCCAACCTAAACCTTGCTACTTCCTCCAAACTCTTTCTGCCCTGGCACACCCTCTTCCTCTACCACAGCCCACCTTCTCAGCTGCCGCATCAATGGCTGACTGGTTGTAGAAAGAGGTGACGGTCTTGGATCGCTCTCTGGCCAGTTCCATGTGATGGGTGTCAGTGGCCGAAGTAGACCAGAATCGGAGAGCCAGGGATGCGAGTGGCCAGAGTGGGGAGCCCCCACGGTGGCCACTCCCCAGCACTGATGCTAAGAGCATCGTCCTGTCCCCACCTGTTTATCCTTCTTGTTGGGCCTCCAAGTGAACCCAGAAGTGGGACAGAACAGGCTGGGTATGTAGGTGAGGTGGGGGGGAAAGGGCTTACCTCAGACTTAGGGGGGAGGACAGGAAACAGAGGGCAGGCTTGGTAAACCCACTCCCATCTGATGGAAGAAGATAGAGAAGAGTGTGACAATGAGGACAGAACCATCCCAGCTCCACCTCCAGGGATTGTCCTGAAACTGTTCTGGGGGTATCCTCACCCTGGGGCCCCAAATTAGAGACAGAGTTCCCTACTAGAGGTACCTCTTGGTTCCAGCCCCAAGGAGGAGAGCAATCTCTGATATTGGGGGAGGTGGGGGAGGAGGGCAGGGGCTGACCCTTTTTCCCCTTCTGCGGGAAACAAACTTCAGCAGCCTGGGAACAGGCAGCCTCCTGAGGACAGCTTGGTTGGACCGTGGTAGAAAAGCACCAAGCACGCCGACAGCCTCAAAGAAGATCTCTGCACAAAAGAGCAGGCACAAAGATGACCCACCCGAGGTGGTGGGGGAGCCTGGTCATCCATGAACAACCAAACCTGGGGGATCGGGGGGAGGGGGCTCCCCGAGTTCCTCCACCCTGGGGACACCTCCTACGCTCCTCTCCCCCTTCCCTTCTCCTCCACACTACCCCCAAACATATGGTAGCGCCCTGGTAACCTCCAATGCTCTCCCTTTCCTCCACCCTCCCACTCCCCACGTCGGCGCAGTGGTAGATCCCTCCTCAGGGTCTGCAATGTAAGACCCCATAATGGTAGGGTCCGCGTGGGGGGGGGGTGCCATGTGAGGCCCGCACTTACCGCCTGGGCCAGGAAGGGAGCGGGGCGAGGAGCTGAGCGGATCGGACCCGGGTGCCAGAGAGAGACGACAAGCCGAACCCAGCAGCCTGCGCCCTCTGCTGCTGCCTCCCCCAGTTCTCCCCCAGTTCTCCCTCCAACCCTACTCCTCCTCCCAAGTCCTCCTCCCTCCTCCCGTCTCCGGTTCCTGCGTGATGACGTAGGAGAAAAGCAGCCTACTCCGAGGGGCTAGGACCTCCGGGAATTGTAGTTTCTTTGGCACGACCTCTCTGAGGACTCCGCAGCCAGGTTGCGAGGTTTTAGAGGAGGCGGTGACGTCGCGTGGGGTGGGGGCAGAACGAGGGAACTGACCTCTGAGCTTCTGCTCACGATGCTCCCTCATGCCCCGAGTGCTCTCTTTTTCCGGCAGAGTGACTGCCCACCCTTCAAAACCCGATTGAACTCTGTGTAATTGTAATGACTTCGGCTAGCCTCGGGTAACAGAATGCACCTCCTTTGCTTCTTTGTGGAGGTGGGGAGGTGCGAGGTTGCTCGTGGAGCATTGCATTTTTGGTCGGATTCGGTGATGAGTGGCTTAATTGTGCTGAATTGCTTTTTTCCACTTTTTTATTCTCTGTTGGAAAGGACAACTCATTAGGTGCTGGAGAGACATATTTGGAAATTAATTTGGGGGGGGGGGGGAGAAATCTGCCATTTAGACTTTGCCCAACCAATCAATACCATGTTAGAGGAGGAAGAGCATTGTTGCTGGCCCCGGACGACCTGGGTTGAAAAGCTAGCTCTGCTACTTACTATCTGGGTTATCTTGGCAAGTCTCTTAACCTCTCTGGGCCTCAGTTTCCTTGTTTGTAAAATGGAGTTGGATTAGATGTTTGGACTAAGGCCTCTTCCAGCTCTACATTAATGATACTAAGAATGTGTGGGACAGCGATGACCCTTACCCAAATTAATTCAGAGGCTTCTTCAGGTAGAAAGTAGAAAGGATTTTATTGCGATCTCTAGAAAGGGCGACTCACACGGAAAGGCAGTTCGATGCAAGACCCCAGGGGGTGTCAGCCAAGCAAGCATTTTTATAGATTCTAACTGCAACCCCTCCCTAGCCCCCTACCTCTCATCCCATTGGCAGGGCTTCAGAGGGCACAATCTAAACATGAAAAAACTACCCCAGCAACAGCTGTGGAAATTACAGAATCGTTACATAGTTTGCACCTGCCTTTCCCTCCTTCAAGTATCCTCTTCGTACATCTTGTTTTTGTTCATTTCAGATCCTATTATTAGGGGTCTTTATCTTATTTTACTAATTTAGGTTTAAATTTTATGAGGGGTCTTCACCAATCTCACTCAATCCTTCCTCTTACGTGTTCATTGAAGACCTCTCACACCAGTTTTGGTATATTCCTTCCACTATTTCATCTCTTACTTCTGATCCTTCTGGCCCAGTCCTATCTTCCTGCTCTACTGGGGTCCATCCCTGCTTCCTTAGGATCATTAGTTGAACTGACACTTCAGCTTTCTTTTCTAATCTAATCATCTTAGACAATGCATCCTGTACTAATTTAGTGATTAACTGCATCATACATGGGAAACATATGGAAAGGAGAATACCTAATATCTTTAGTAATTCCATTTACCACTGCCCCATTATCATCAGTTTTTACACAGCATGTGGATAGATTTAATTTTCCACATACTCCACCTTCCTCATCCAATAGGTAATCTAAAACTAATCTGTGTTGGAGGACCACTTCTCTGGTTTGGGTAGCCTGATCTGCTAACAGACCCAGAGCTTTTGCAGTCTGGTTAGTAATGATTTCTACCACTGCCTGGAACCTAATTAGTAACAAGCTCCAGCCCAGTCGAAAGGGAGGTGAGTGTAGGCAGTGGGGCCGCAAATCCAATAGTGGATTTGAATTGAATTGAAGCTGGCAGTTTAGGTGTCAACTCCTCCGACCACCCCCAATGTATTTTGGAATGATTCCCTCCTGCTGGGTAGTAGTACATATTATAGGGCCCTAGAGGTCCACCTCCTAAGTTCTTATCCTTATGCTGACATTTCCACAGGGCTACATTCTCCTCCCATTCACAGCTTGTGATGAGATCTCCTGTCCAGTTCACTTTATCCCAATAATATGAGAGGTAGTCCCTTTCCCCAGTTTCATTGGTCCATCCCCAGTTTATATATGGGACCTCTAGAATTCCTTCTACCCCCTGGCATCGGGTTGCTTTTTCCCAAAGTTCAGTCTTTTTATGATCTTTTAGGAGGACTGCCACATCCTTTGTGCCCTTGCACAAACAACAGAATACTGTTCTTGTCGGACCTCAGTACAATTATATGTTTCTGTTCCCGTAATTCCTGTAAGGGTCCATTTGCAATGACTTTCCCCTAATACATTTTCCCTTCTGTTTGTTTCAGACAGAATACTCCTTTCCTTTCCTCAGTAAGCCACCAGGAATGTTCCTCCCAAAAGCCTGTCTCACTATTTACTACAGATTTATTGCTAAGGAGCCATTCTGGTTTCAGAGGAACAGGGACCCATGGCCATTGGGATAGTCTCTGGGGTCCACCACAAATCCAACAGTTAGTCAAATTAAAATCCTGAGCTACAGTTTCCATCAATTGTTCAAACATATTTTTCTCTGCTGACCAGGATACAGGAGCAAGTTGTGCGAGGGGGTGGGGGTGGGGGCTTAAAGAACAGATCAGAAATAGTATTAAGGAAATCCCCGTGGTGTCACACTCTGATTACAAGTAAAATGACTATGTAAAGAAGTAGAAATACAAGCAAAAATTCCAATCAACAATATGGTTACAAGTAGAAGAGGAATTAACACACTTAAGAGGATAAGAATTCTAATTGATAAGGGTAGGTGTTTAGGGCTCATGAATCCAACCAGTGTGCGGCTTTCGCCAGAGGAGTGACTTCAATTCCCCTGGGTCTGTGGAATCCACTGTCAATTCAGCAGCAAGAGTTACCAGTCCCTTTACTCGTGTGTGGTACGTCCAGCTGAGTTCTTTAGTCCGAACCGCTGTGTCCAAGGTCAGCAGGACTTGTAAAGGTCCTTCCCAAGATGGGGTGAGCTTTTCTTCCTTCCAAGTCCGGATCAGCACCCAATCACCTGGCTGGAATCTGTGAACTGGGAACCCCAAAGGTGGCACCTGGGCGATCAGCCCTTTATGCTGTAACACATTTAAATGCTTCACCAGAGAATGTACATAATTCCTTAAAAATCTATCCTTTCAGGGCAGCTAGGTGGCTCAGTGGATACAGCACCGGCCCTGAAGTCAGGAGGACCTGAGTTCAAATCTGGCCTCAGACCAAACACTTGACACTTAGTAGCTGTGTGACCCTGGGCAAGTCACTTAACCCCAATTGCCTTTAAAAAAAAAAGAAAAGAAAAATCTATCCTTACAATTGAATATAGGGTCCCAATTTTCTCCTTTGCCACTTCCCCCAGGATATGGATGTCCAAAAAGAAGCTCATATGAGGATAATCCAATATCCCTCTGGGGTTTTGTTCTGATTCTAAGAAGTGCTAGGGTAGACATCAAGTCCAAGGTAATTGAGTCTCTAAGGTTAGTTTAGTGAGCTGTCTCTTAATTTCTTGGTTCATTCTTTCTACTTTGCCAGAGGAAGGAGGGTGCCAGGGAGTATGAAACTACCAGTTAATATACAAGTACAAGGCTTGTACCAAATATTGAACAACTTTGGAAGTGAAATGAGTTCCCTGATCCAAGTCTATCCGCTCCACTAGCCCCTATCTAGGAAGAATTTGTTCTACAAGGATCTTGCTGACGGCTGAAGTCGTCGCTTGGGTTGTGGGGAATGCCTCTACCCACAAGGTCAGGTGGTCAAGCATAACCAGCAAGTATTTGAGGCGGCCAACTAGGGGCAGCTCGGTAAAGTCAGCCTGGATGCTTTGGAAAGGTCTAATTCCCGGGGGTCTTCCTCCTGCGGGAAGTTGACGTTGGGCTGACTTATTTGTCCTTCGACACACAAGGCATCCCTCCACTATTTGCCTCACCAGGGTATAAAGACCGGGAGATACATACCGTGTTAGAACTGCATCACACAGATTCTGTACATCCCAATGACTGCCTTGGTGGAGGTGTTGTAACACCTGCCTCATACTTGCCTTGTTTAATACCTCCCGACCATCAGGGAGGAACCAGTTCCCTTGGCTTCCCCTGGGGTAGACTCAGAAGGAAAGAAGGGATTAGGACTAACATTGGATCACCGTGGTCGGATGTGTTATCCCCAGCTCTCCTTGCCTCCTCATCTGCCAATCTATTTCCTTTAGCTTCAAAAGTGTGGCCAGGTTGATGCCTATTAACATGTATGACAGCAATTGCCTCTGGTAACAACAAATTCTCTTACACTTGTGTTAGCAAAGTGGAATGAACCAATCCCTTGCCTTTACTATTTCACCATTCCCCTTTCTTCCCAAATTTTCCCGAATACATGCACCACCTCCCTGGCATACTTAGAATCTGTAAAAATGTTCCTACTTTTTCCTTCTAGTAATTTTAAAGTCTGATTTAAAGCATACAATTCACAAGTTTAAGTAGACCAATCTTTTGGCAATCCCCCTGCCTCTTCTAAGGCGAACTGATCCCCATCAATGATAGCATATCCATTTTCCTTTTTCCTTTTACCACTCAGGAGGACCCATCTATGAAAAGGTTTCTGACTCCAGGTATGGGAGACTCTTGAAGGTCCTCCTGAGTCTTTGTCTGAAAATTCACTGTTTCCAAACAACAGTGTTCCAAATCTATTTCCCTTGATCCTGTGCTAGTAAGAAAAGAGGCCGGATTCAGATTTGAGTCTTGGGTCAACACTAAGTCATCCTTTTCTAGTAATATGGCCTCATACTTCAGGATCGGGGAATCTGTTAACCACTTCCTGGCCCTTTGATTTAAGATAGATCTAACTTGGTGTGGTACACTAATCATCAGACTTCCCCCAAAGGTAAGTTTTCTACTTTCTTCCACTAAGATAGCCGTCACAGCTACAGCTTGTATACATACAGGCCATCCTCCGGCTACCAGATCCAGGACTTTAGAGAGGAAGGCTACAGGTCTTTTCTGCCCTCCTCTCATTTGTGCTAAAACTCCTAAAGCTATTCCTCTTTCTGTATTTACATA